GCATTTTCCCCCCCCCCCCCCCCCCCCCCCTCCCCCAACCACCAGTTAACCGAAGACCTCCGACCGCAGCTTGGGTCACAATATTTTAATTTACATGACTACGCTGCCTAAAAAAGAGAAAGAAACTACTCTTGTTTGGTAAAGCACTTCTTGTCTTGGCGCTGCACCGTTTCTAGGCCCTGGTGTGGTTTATTGTCTAAACAGCCAGATTCTATCATACCCCACAACAACGAGACGTGCAGTCGGAGCCAGACGCCGCGCGTGTTGACCTGTTGCACATGTACTTTATAAAACGCAATTCTAATCTGACGGGCGCACCCGTGGGTTGACTACTTATTCGCCTCCTTCCCTTTCCCCGACGGACGCACAATACGGTGAATGCCGAACTAAGTTCTTTCACATAAAAAACGCTCGAGGAAAAGTCAAAAGCCTAAACCTTGCTCCACATCATTCGACAGAAGTGGGTTCCCGAGCTTCGCGCGAAACGCGTCAATTGCAAAGATACGAAACCCCAGTCAGTTTGGGTCAAACTCGAAATGTACACGAAATGGCCTGACTCTTACGCCTAAAATAGCCACGCCTCTTACGTACTTTGGCGTTTCGCCTAAGCCATGAGCATGTCCGCCGCTTTCTCTGCGATCATGATCGTCGGTGCCGCTGTTTGACCGCCGGGGATTGAAGGCATCACCGAAGAATCGATCACCCTCAGCCCGGCAACACCCTTTACCTGTTTTTACAGTTTCGTGTAGACAGGGAAAAAAACACATTTAGACTACTTGAGTTTTCCGCACGTGCTTGCTCGAATAATTGTTTTAGGAACGGGTCGTGAATTCCATCGCGCCGCGTCAACACAGCACATGCCACAACGCAAACTAGCTCTTAATCAACTCACATCGCAACACATTAAAAATCTAGTCCTGTCCATAAGGGTCCATCATGCCACAACAATGGAACAAGGATTGATATACTAGGTTAGCGCATTTCGAATTCCTATTTAGCGTTTGTTTGCAGTTTTCGTGGCACAGAGCAAGCACAACAGGTGACCGACCGCCAGGCGAGAGCACTCTACGTCCTTTCCTTTGCTAACTTTACCTTGAGTGCCGAGTTCACAACAGACATGTTGTCTGATTCTTCGCCCATCTTGCAAGTGCCAACCAAGGCGTTGGCGGAGTGCACGGTAGACTTGATGTACTCCGAGATCTGGGCGAGGATGAGGAGAACATATCGGTCAGGAGGACTTCGCGACAGTGGTGGACACACCAGCGACGAACGGACAAACAGGTCCTGACAACACAGAACACAGAACACCGTCGACTTGTACATCAAACCATACGCATACATACGGCCATTTTCGAATTTCGCTGAGATCGTCACCAGTGGCTCATCAGGAATCAACCATAAGAGGCGACGAAAACGTGCTCTGCAAGAAAAAAGGGTGCAACAGATCGCACGAACCCTCAGAGCGTAAAGAAGATCCAGTTCGTCCACAAGAGTGCTCAGCAGGCCGATCCCTTCCCATGTCGAAAAACTTCCGCCGGAAAGGGGAATTTTCTTTACGTCAAGGGGGTGCAGAAGATCAATTCGTGTACCTCCTTGTTGTCTCTGCCGGGGAAGACTTCTTTGTCCACCATTTCTCCGAAGGCCTCCTGGTCGAACAGCTTTCGTGCCATTTCGATTCCGTTCGTCAAAGACGCCATGTCCTCCCTGGCAAGATCGAAAATCGCAGTGGAAAAGATGCACACCGTTGAGCGCAAGTGTCAGCATCGGTCATCGGGATCCTTGCAACCCTGTGCGTTCATCGCGCGCGCCACTCAAACCGCAACAAAATATCCATGTAACGCGAACGTCAGAGTACGCTTCATGACTCCACCATGCCCTTCTTGCGCCAACATGGCGCAGTCTGTCGCTGTGATGACATGTATCGCCGCCAATCGCCCTTGCGATCCACAGCACAGAACGTGAATGTGACCGGCGGAAGGATAGGACTCACCCACTCTCAAGGTAGTTAGTGACGATGTGTGGCTTGTCGAACGGGTCCGAAGAACGCAGCTCGACGTGGCCTTCACTCTGCGGCCGGATCCCCACCACCTGAAACGAGACACAAAACACCAAAAGCAGCAACAACAACATCAGTAGCAGTGGATACGTCTGGAACCGCAACAACAATCCCATCCAACACAGAGGTGCCACAAGGGGGGGATACACGCGCGGCCCCCCTATGTCAGGCTTCGCGGCGAACCGCGCTTAAATGGACCAAAATTCCTTCAGAGTTGGTTGTCGTGCCAATCACCTGCACGGTGACACCCGAAGGAGGCCTCCCCTTGGTGCCAATAGTGTTGTACGCCTTCACCCCGTCTGGGGTAGTGGATCTTCCAGGGACAAATCGCAACTGTTGGGGGACAGGCGGATGGGAGGGAGCCGAGAGGCTGACAGGTCAGCGTGCATGCGCTCCAAGAACGGCCAGCACATTGAAACAACTTGTAAGCAACCATGTAGCCAAGTATCCCTTTGGGTCATTCGGTCGCGCCTCGTATCGTAAGAAAGTCCAAATAGATCCAAGGGTGTGTGTACAGGCCAGTCACGCCGACCACCTGCAGATCTGCCGCCGCTTTGTCAGGCGTGGTCTTGAAGAACGCGCCGTTCTCGCACCCTGGCGAGGTCAGCGGCCCAGTTCCCGTCAACAGCCACTGAAGGGCCGTCTGAAGACAAGCGAAAAAAAAAAAAGAAGTTGCAAGCCGTTAAGACAGTTTGTGGGAATAACTCGCCGTGAGCGCGGGGTCTGCTCGTGCTTTCAAATCAAATTGTTAAGGGGGAGGCCAACAATTTATCATCGGGGACACAGGCAATGGTGAGTTTCCCGACGACACACGGACGATACGAAGGCTAACAGCAACGAAACGAGCAGGAGACCTCCCGGCATGTCACTTGGTGTGGCGTCTAGGCTGCTCGAACTTAACCTTACAATTTTGTTCACGTCCCCAGAGCCCTCCTTGAGAACCTTGTCGGTGATGGAGATAGGCTTGTTGATGTCGGCCATCACGGCTGAGAACCGAAGGCAAACGCAAGACGTTGGCAAGAGCGAAGGGACAGTCGTGCGCGAGGCTAACTGTTAGCTTGCCGATAAGCCCGTCCAACCAATCCCCTTCCCATTGACTCGAGCTTTTTAATGTGCCTGGAACTCATTAGTTCTTTGGACGCACTATGGATCTCCAAGGTATATTTACACATACACCGCCCATAGGTACAACAAGGCGGTCTGATGTTTACTACAAAGAGGAGGGGAGAGGAGCAGTTTCTCACAGGAATACGAATTGTCACAACCAATCTCAAACCGCACGAGGCAAGGGTGCACATTCATTAACACAACATTGGACCGAAGTGACTCACTGACAGCGGGATGGTCGCGGAGGTTCTTTCCGACCCCAGGCACATTGCTCTTCACCTCGATGCCCTGACAACACAACGCACATGTAAACATGCACGTCAACAGCAGGCGGTCTGGGCCACCCTACGTGCGTTTGCCTACCGAGCGCACCGTCACAGAAAAACGTACCCAGAAAGTGCGCAAAAAACTCCTTACAGCATGGCCGCCTGGGCGACCATTAGTGAAGGGTGCTGATGCCTGACGTTGCACCAAGCCCGCACTGCATTAGTCTACGTCTCCTCCTTTTGATGGTGGCGGCCGCGATTATCGTGCACCGCGACATGCTCAGGCACAGGCAACCAGCAGTTGCGCTTTGCATTCCACGAACCGAGTCTTCAAACTGGACATACGACTCTTGTACATATTTCCCTCTGCGGTTTGCCATACCGTGCGGTATGACTTCCAGGAAGAAAATTAAGTCGTTGCTACTGTGGCCGAGTGGCCGGAGGTTTTCTCTTGTCATTTTCGTGTTCATTCGTACTGTATGTACCCTACTGGGGTCAGTCACCCTCCGACGACCGAAATTCGCTCTGTACACACTTGGTTTCGTACGAATAGACAGACCACAACGGAACCTCAGCGGAAAGAGGAGAGGCTGTACCATACCTTGGACCTCAAGTGCTCGGCCGGACCCACCCCACTGAGCATCAGCACCTGCGGTGAGCTGATGGCACCTCCTGCTAGCAGGATCTGTGGGTAGACGAGACGAGACGAGACGAGACGAGACAAGGTGAAGAACCGAGCGTTCGCATACAGCCGGATCAAGCAGGTTTACACGTGGAGCAGCGGCACAACCAAGCGAGTAGTACAACAGAGAATATTATCCTTTCGACAGGATGGGAAAAACAAACGCGTTTAGTTGCTGCTGGAACAGCGGTGGACGGGGGGGCGGCACACGCTGAAAACGCTATCGATTGGTGTGCATTTTCGTTACTCCCTCCCTCGCTTGCAGCCCACCTCTCCGCCCACGGCAAGCTTGGCGATCTTCTTTTCGCCATCCCGCACGTACTCAACGCCTATGGCACCGCCGTTCTCGATCAAGACCTGCCAAAAGAAACAAACGCCGGTCGTGTCGTGCTCAGTCTGCTCATTTACATGCATAGTGTAATGCTACGCGGTGGTGTGGTACAATGGAGAGGACGCGCGCGCAGGATATAAACTTAGCAAACCTGCGAACGCAGCACCGAGCTCGCTCGGTTGTGTCAACACGCTTGTTTCGCTTTGACGACCACCACGGGAAAAACATTAATACGCGCACACCCTCCTTGCCTTGCCGCGGTGAAACTACCGCACAAGCAGCACACCTTGGTGATCTGGGCGCTGGTCTGCACGTCCAGGTTTTTGCGCCCCATGGCTTCCTTGAGGTAGGAGGAGGCTGCCGAACAGCGCTTGCCTCTCTTCTGTGCAACCTGGTGCAAGGATATAGCCCCCAGCAAGGCGTCCATCAACAGCACACGGACCAACGGGAAGACATGCAAGATAAGGTTGCAGTTGGTCCGCAAGCATGCACTGGACAAGTCGCAACGCAGACGGCTAGTAGAGCGTGAAAAGCCAGCGCAACCTTTGTGCGCAGCTAGCTGCATTAGGCGACGATAAGCAACACGCTGGCCCCCCACGTCCCACAGAAGAGAGAAAGTCAGAGCAGCGCCGAGAGTGCGTCTGCCGTGCACCTGGAAGCGACCGAAGCCCTCCTGCGAGTGGGACCAATCGTTGAAGTCCTCGTTCTCCGACAGGCCTGCCTGCTCGCACGCCTTGAAGAACAACTTCGTCAAAGGGTTCATGTAACGCGCGTTTTCCACCTGCATCAGGCCTCCCTTGCCGTGGAACTCCCCCTTTTTCTTGGATCGGTTGTTCTGGTCGCGACATGAAAAGGCGGGTCGTCGACGGACCGAGGGCGAGACGTACATGCAGGGGCACAAGTAGAGGTTACGAAATAAACGGGTTAGGCAGAGAATCCCCATCAGAAAGTCGGGGGAGTATCGTCGACACTGAATACTACGAAGCATGAATCAAACGTATACCTAACCTAGCCTCGCACAAATCACGCGTGACTCTCACTGCGGCTCGGTGCTATCGGCGTGCGGAGCATCGAGCTAGCTACATTACAATCGCGAACTTGAAATGCACAGACAGCAAACTGCCCTCGGGGAACCGGTAACAACGGTTTACGCCACACAACCTCGTTTCACCATGAGCGTGGCGACATGCAGTAATTGTCGGCGAAAAATTGGCCTCGCTCACAAAAAAAACGTTGCGACACCCCCTCTCACACGCTGTCATGGGTCTCAAGTCAGATGAGGTGTACGAACGATGTCGTGCTTAGTATCGACATGTACGTAACGTGATTTGCAAGGCCAACACGTATCGAACACAGGAACACTACCGCAGTATCATTCCATGCCACGGCCGAAACATTGATTGTTCTTAAGTTAGACACCCATCGTTTACCTCCGCCTTCTTGAAGTAGGGGAGCACGTCCTTGCCTTTCCATCCATCCACCCCCCACGCGTCATAGTCAGCCTCCTCTCCGCGATGGTAAAGCATGACGTTGGTGCAGCTAGACCCGCCGAGGACCTGAAGTCATTCAGATAGTACCAGGACAATGAGAAACAGCATTCAAGAACTAATATGTAGACCAAGAGAACGTTGTACGCGTAGTACTCGTGGGATAATGCAGTAGTACCAGCAAGTGTAGTAGATATAGCAGATCACCTTGCCACGGCAGAGGTAGATGCCGTCGCCGGTGGCAAACTTCTCGTTTTCCGACTGGAAGCCCCAGTCGAAGACAGACTTGAACAACCTGCATAAAACCAAGCGGTGGTGGATTCCAGCTGAACGTTCCCCCTTCGGTGTCGATACTGTATGCAGCTGTATGTAGACAAGTCTCAAGAGGCGTGCGAGTCGTTGCGGGGCTTCGAACGAAAACATTCGCTTCTGCTTGCACTACAGATCATGTGGCACGCAAAGAAGCGTTTCTCACCGTGGAAACGGAACCTGTACCTACGATGGCAGAGGCCAACTACAAGAATGTCGAACAGTGATGAGCCTACACAGCAGTGGCAGACAAATGCGTGGTTGTCGTGAAACAGACATTTTCCTCACACAACGTTCGCTTTGTCAACCACACACCGATTACTGCTGATCGGAGCGGACGAGCGCTTGCAACTCTGGTGCAAAATATGGTGGTTTGTAAACTGAATCACAGACGGGCGCTCAACAAAGAGGGTCGACAGATGACAGCCGGGGACCTACTCACAACCTGGAAGCACGGAACCATCATAAACTGTCCAATAGAAGGAAGAAAAGCATACGGACAGGGCGTACCTTAGGATTGCGATGGGCATCTTGATATTCCTGTCATTGAATTTTTCCGAGCCGGCCTCCAACACCAGCACTGAATTGTCCTAACAAGTGGAGTACGCAAAGCGCCCGGTCAAAACGGTAGTGACGAGAGAGCAACACGATGTTTTCGACCATTGGCGCTCGCATACATCCAACCATATCTAGCTCTAATAACTTCCGATCACAAAGCGCAGCGTCTTCATGACGTGACACTCCTCGAAATACTAGAGGACGAACATGAGAACCATCGACAAGCCCGGAGATTCAATCGTCACATTACGCAGATAACGCGCGATACCGTGCACAAGGTCGCACGAGTCGCCCACCTTGTCGGCAGAGAGGCGGTTCGCCAGAACACACCCAGCCGTACCCCCGCCGATGATGATGAACTTGTGGCCTTCTTCCGCCACCGACATGCTCACCGAAGACGTCGCATAACGTGCTGCAGGCACTGGCCGTCGAAGTGGGAAGTAAAAAGTTGGCGTCAGTGTTGTGACGGACTAGCGCAGCAACACAAGGGAATAGAATCAAGGAATATGATCTACTGTGAAAGGTATTCTAATAGCGGATGACACCCGCTACCCGATTTCTGTCAGTAGCGCAGTCATCCCAACCATCGGAAAAAAAAATAACAATCGAACGGACACCTGTGAGAGGCTACCGTTACGGTGCACCACCGAGAGTGTTTTCAGCCATAACCAGGGCACAGGAATCTACGTATTTCCATCCACCCTGATCGGCCCTGCCAGCATGTCCTTCCTGGGGTTGAGGATGTCACCCGTATCAAACCAGTAAATTCATCGGGCCCGAGACCCTACCCAGAGGGCAACGCCCAAACACTTCGTTCCTTGGATCTCCGCCAACAGGACGTCCTTTGGCAGCATACGCATCTATAGCAGAACCGAGTGTTCGTTCACAAGGACACAAAATAGGTGCCCAAAACAGCTTCTCGTAATTCCACATTCACGAGATACACAAGACCAGTCGGAAGGCATCGACAAACAGAAATCGTTGATTCTCGCTCTGGGCAGCAGTAGAGGCTGTTCAAAACAACTTGGAAGTACATATCATGAGTCTACCTCCACACGCCCCCTTTGAAATCAAGATATTCACACCATTCAAAATGCAAGTCAATAGAGCCAAAATGGCAGGCGCTCAAAAAGGTCGGTTTAGGCTTTCTACATAACTGCACCTTAGTACTCATATCACTAGAGGACACCCAGCAGCAGGAAGGGTGTGTTGCCGCGCTCACATCTGCTTCTGTGGTGGTGATATTGAGGATCTTAGCAATGGCCTACATTCTCCGCAAATCTCCGCAAATTGGATCGATACCCGAGTGTCTTGTACAGCTTGTGCTCGCCGCCACTGACCTCAATCTCCTGAACTGCGGGTTGACAGCAGTAGTGGCTGATGTCACTATCTACTGCTGACGACCCGCCGGTCAGGGGTTTACCGTCCGTGCCGGTGAGCGCAAGCTGTACAAGACACTCGGGTGTCGGTCAAACTTGCGGAGATTTGCGGGAATGTAGGCCATTACTACGACCCTCGATATCACAACCCAAGAAGCAAACCTGAACGTGGCAGCACACACCACGCCTCTTCATGGTGTCCTCTACTGATAACAGCACCAAGGTGCAGTTAGAAACGGCGGGAAGGATGCTTTCTTTTTTTATACTCCTGTATGGCTTCAACTAAAACGTCGACTGCTAGACTCCCAGACTACGGAGCAGAGAGATCATACACAGAAAGAGTGTGCCTCATCGGCCCCACGAGGCAAACTGGGGCAGTTGGTTTCGAAACGTACACCAACAGAAGCAATAAGAGTGCGGGAGGATCTGACGCTGTACTGCCTTCGACTACAGCGTAGAAATTGGTAATCTAGGTAATTTCCAGCTGGTAATTTCCATCCGGTTTCAGGACCTGCTGCGTGATAAGTTCCGTTTCAGCAAGTTGATGTCATCATGGTGATTTGTGCGCCGGAGCCTTTCAAGTTCTAAAATTCTCAGCAGCTTCGACTAACAGCAGTTGACACAACCGAAATAGGAGCCCTTGAGGAAGAAACATGGTATGGCAGATGAAGCAAGAGGGGGAAAATATGCGGTTGCACAAGGAGAGCCATGTGTGTGGAGTCGTCAAGGTGCTCAAGACCTATGCGGTACATACCTCTTGTTGTTCCTCGTGCACTCCGACTTATGGTACTCGGAATCGACATTGGCGTTGGAGCAAGCATGAACGCCGATGATACGGCACACATGGCCATTGCCATAAGCCCTTGAGCTGCCACCATGATGCTGTTCCTCTTGCAGGCGACTGCGGCAGCGGTAGTCTTGCCAGCGGAACAGATGTCGGCCTCTCCGTAGACATGTTGAACAACCAAAGATTTTTGTGTCCGGTTATTTCGCCGCGTTTTTCCCGAGAGGTTATGTTCCTCAGGGGAGAACCTTCCTAAACTCAATTTGTCTACAGGTCCGCACTTGGCAGTTGGCGACCTGTAACAACCTAACAACCTAACCGTCGGACGTCTAACTTGTGAACCACGCATGGTGTGTAAACACAACCTGAGGAAACGGACTAATTCTCGCGATAAAAATCAATATTGAAGGCAAGCGCCACGGGGGAGCGGTGGTGACAAAATGCACCAAACACCAACCCTTTCTTTTGCCCCCGACGGCTTGTTTGTGCGTCAACATCGCCTTTATAATACTGGCCCCCAGAATAGATGGGGATCAAAACACATTACATCACACATATTTTGGCCCTGCCGATCAGTGGGGTGGTCACTTATGTAGTGTTTATTGCTTCGATACTGCTGTTCATCTTTCACGGGGACCGGCCGTCCCCGTGGTTATTTGATCGGTTGGGTGTGTTGTTTCGGAAATCTCTCCTTGTCTCACACGAACACCTTCACACCTTCATTAACCGAGAGCGCGCCCGTACCTTTCCGACGACGGCCTGGTTGATCGAGCGAATTTTTGGCGGTGCTTGTTACACGGCTCCCAGCCCTACGATTGGTACTCGTAGCTCTCGCTAGACTTTCGGGTGGGCAGAACGAAGTCTAACTGTTCGAAAATGCCAGCGTAACACACCCGCCGCCGTCGACCGAAACCGACATTTGGTGCAATGGTTTGTGTGCATCGTCCTTTCTTCGAAAAAGGCAACCGGAAACCTCGCATCTTTGATCTATCAACGGCCAATTTCACGCTCGACCACTGTCATAAAAAAATGTTCCGCACATCTTCACTTGTGAACACCTCCACCACCACCACATGGCCCCAGATCCAAATGGGGATACTTGCTCCCCTTCGCCGCGTCCTGCTCGGTGGAAGTCGAATAGACGGCGAATTTCTAACGGTCTCTTCAACGCTGAAACTCTCCATCGAAACTGGTAAAGCCCGTGAGCTGGAACATCGGGAAGAACGGCTTCGAGTTCAGCTGGGAGCACCAGTTCCATGCCGAGGTCAGCCGGCCGTCAATGCAACTGAAAAACAAAGCAGTGCGCGCGCGCGGGGGGGGGGGGGGGTACTCATAGTCGTGCATGCCATAATCCTTTGACCATTGACCTCGCATCCCTACAAAGCCGGGACGGAGCACGCCGGGTTCTCACCGGACCAGGCTCTCACATCACCAAGCGCGAAGCGCCGTGAGGTATTTGGCAAGTCGCATGAAGGGTGAGCTGCATCCTGCTAAGGGTGTTCGGCATCTTGTGCTTACTTCCTTGCGTACGGATGACAGCTACGTATGACTTAATTTATTTTCTGGTGCTTTCACTTCCAGAGACAGTTGTAAGCACTGTGTAACTGCCTCGAGGAAGCTTGACCATTTTAACACAACGTGGTGCGATCATCCCCCGTTGCGCGGAGAGAGGGTTCTCGACCCCGCACAACATGATCTACTCGACCACCATTATGGTTACCGCCAAAAAAAAAACACACGAGGTAAAAAAAAAAAAAACGGTAACCTGGTTGCCGAGTTCACGAAGTGAATTGGCTTGTTTTACAACGTCGTTGCCAAGCGACGAAAACCCAATCCCGATGGCAAACACCGAGTGGGGGGCTTGTTTTACAACGTCTTGCCAAGCGACGAAAACCCAAACCCCGATGGCAAACACCGGGGGGGGAGCGGGGGGGGGGGGGGGGGGGGTCTTATTTTTTTTTTTTTCACCCCTTCCCCTTTAAACCATTACCACCCCCCCCCCAA